TTCCTATCAATTTACTTTCCATTAGCAGTATTACCCACTCCTTGAATTTTTCAATGACCTTTCCTTCTTCGTGTGTGTGTTTCAAGATCTAGCCTCGGGGAAGACGATTGGTAGAGGAAGCATGGTGGATAGTCTCTATGTGTTGAAGAATAAAGCCGGTCTTGTGGCTATAGAGTCCTTAAGTTCATTTAGTGAGAGTCCTTAAGTTTCTGTCAATTAAGCAAACATTGTAGAAATTCTTTTTCTTTAAGAAATAAAAGATCTGAATTTCCTTTTCATATGTCTATTCTGATGTTTGGGGCCCTGTTACTCTACATTGTGAGACTGGATATAAGTATTTCATTACTTTGATTGATGACTACTCTAGATATACATGAGTTTATCCTATGTGATCAAGAGAGGAAGTGCCAAAGATTGTGAAAGATTTTCAACACATGATTTTCACTCAATTCCAAACTGAGATTCATATCTTCCAATCGGACAACGCAAAAGAGTACTTCCATAGTGATCTCATGGTGTTCTTTGCTTCGTGTGGATCTCTTCATCGGAGCTTTTGTGCTAGGACACCCCAACAAAACGGTGTCGCTGAAAGAAAAAATCATCTTCTCAAAGTAGTTCATGGTTTATTACTCCATATGAATGTTCCGAAATGCTTTTGGATGGATGTTGTTATGTGTACTGCATATATCATCAACCGTATGCCATCTCAGTTGCTAGAGTATAAGGCCCCACATCAACTTTTGTCCCCTATTCCAATGCGTGTTTTTGGGTGTCGCTACTTTGTTCATGATTTGTCTCCTACTCGTGGTAAGCTTGATCTTCATGTCATTCTCTGTGTTTCTTGGTTACCCTTTATCTCAAAAGGGTTACCGTTGCTATGATCCTGTATCACGCAAGTACTATGTCTCCATAGATGTCTCCTTTGAGAGTCAACCTTTTTTCTCGATTTCTCCTCAGGGGGAGAGTAGGGTTGAGGAGGAGAAACACACCCATGCTCAGACTCAATTACCTCTGCTTCCTGATCCTCCTCCATTTCGTGTCTTTCTTTGCCTCCATAAGAGCCAACAAAGTTCAAGAGCCTTGGAACCTAAAACTGTGCAACCAACATCATCAAACTCTCTAGTGGCAGATCCTCCTCGTCAACTAGGTACACTTGCTCCCATTGATATTCCTGAACCTCTTGATTGTGATCCCCCTGCTATTAATGATCTTGATGTTCCTATTGCTAAGAGAAAGGGTGTTAGATCTTGTACTTTTAATCACTCTATCTCTCACTTTGTGTCCTATGGTCATGTTTCACCTTCATATCGTGTGCTCCTTTCCTTTGTTGACAGTGTCTCTATTCCTAGGAATGTGGCAAAAGCTTTATCCAAACCTAAATGGACAGATGCAATGAAGGAAGAAATTAATGCCTTACACAAAAATGGCACTTGGGAGTTGGTGGATTTTCCTGAAGGAAAGGAACCAGTGGGATGCAAGTGGGTATTCACAGTATAGCATAGGGTTGATGGTTCGGTAGAAAGGTACAAAGCCATATTGGTGGCCAAAGGGTTTACACAAGTATATGGAGTAGACTATGTAGAGACCTTTGCTCTAGTAGCCAAGACGAATTCGATCAGAATCCTCCTTTCACTAGAAGGTAATCTTGACTGGGAACTTCACCAGTTGGATACTAAAAATGCATTCTTGAATGGTGACCTAGAGAAGGAGGTTTACATAACTCAACCTCTATGCTTTTGTGCCAAAGGTAGTGAGAAGAAGGTGTGCAGGTTAAAAAAATCATTATATGGATTGAAACAATCACCTCGGGCCTGGTTTAGTAAGTTTCACTTAGCTGTACAACAGATGGGGTTCAAACAATGCTAGCCAGATCATGCTTTGTCTGTGAAGAAAGGTGAAGGGAAAATTGTAGCTTTAATTGTGTATGTTGATGACATAGTGGTCACAAGCGATTGGAAGACTAAAATACAAAAGCTGAAGAAATTCCTAGCCACACAATTTGAGGTGAAAGATCTAGGCCCTTTACGCTATTTCCTTAGGATTGAAGTCGACCGCTCTCAAAAGGAAATTTTTATTTCCCAAAGGAAATATGTACTAGATCTATTAGAGGACGCAGACAAGTTAGGGATGAAGCCAATTGATTCACCCATTGAACCTAACCATTAGCTAGGAGACAATCAAGGGGAGTTTTTGAAAGATGTGAAGAAGTTCCACAGACTTGTAGGGAGACTCTTATATTTGTCTAGGACTAGAACTGATATTGCCTATGTAGTGGGTGCCCTTAGTCAGTTCATGCATAACCCTAAGACAACTTACTTTGAAACTGTAGAAAGGATCCTTAGATACCTTAAGAAGTTCCCAGGAGCTAGTTTGCTATTCCAGAAACATGGGCATTTGTAGGTGGAGGTGTATACAGATGTTGATTGGGCAAGGGTAGTTGATGATAGAAAATCTACCAATGGGTATTGTATACCTTTGTGGGAGGAAACTTAGTCACCTGGAGAAGAAAGAAGCAAAGTGTAGTATCTAGATCCAGTGCTGAAGCAGAATATAGAGCTATGTCTCATGGAGTTGTTGAAATCATATGGATAAAAAACTTGTTAGGAGAGTTGGGTTTTGTAGTTAACAAACCTATGCCACTCTATTGTGACAATAAAGTTGCTATCAATATTGTTGCTAACCCAGTCCTCCATGATAGAACAAAACATATTAAGGTGGACAAGCGTTTTATTAGAGAAAAACTTGTGAGCTAAGAAGTGTACACTCCATATGTCAATTCAGAAGAACAACTTGCACACATCTTCACGAAGGGTCTTCATCATGTGTGACATAATAATTTGTGTGACAAGTTGGGCATGATTGACATCTATGTCCCAACTTGAGGGGGAGTGTTTGAATGTATTAACAACCGAACAGAGGAGAAGAGAGGTAGGAGAAGAGAAGAGGAAGAGAGGAGAGAAGAGAAGAGAGAGATTTGGAGTTTGCTACAGTGCTGGCGGCGCTAGCTTATATTAATATGTATAGGGCGACCATAATTAGAAGGGAAAGGACCCTTATGCCGCTACTTAAGTTACAGCATAAAAAACAAAGAAAAAACTGCTTTAATTTATCCAAACGGACCCTAACTCAGCAGAATACAAACATAATAAATAAAGCTAACATTCCAACACTCCCCCTCAAGTTGGGACATGGATGTCAATCATGCCCAACTTGTCACACAAATTATTATGCCGCATGTGTTGAAGGCCCTTCGTGAAGATGTCTGCAAGTTGTTCCTCTGAACTAACATAAGGAGTGCACACTTCTCCGTTCACAAGTTTTTCTTAATAAAATGCTTGTCCACTTCAATATGTTTTGTTCTATCATAGAGGACTGGGTTAGCAGCAATGTTGATAGCAGCCTTGTTGTCACAGTAGAGTGACATAGGTTTGTTAACTGCAAAGCCCAACTCTCCTAACAAATTTTTTATCCACATCATTTCAGCAACTCCATGAGACATGGCTCTGTATTCTGCCTCAGCACTAGATCTAGCCACTACACTTTGCTTCTTACTTCTCCAGGTGACTAGGTTTCCTCCCACAAAGGTACAATACCCACTGGTAGATTTTTTGTCATCAATTGCCCCTGCCCAATCAGCATCTGTATACAACTCCACTTTCAAATGCCCATGTTTCTTGAAAAGCAAACCAGCTCTTGGGAACTTCTTGAGGTATCTAAGTTACAGCATAAAAAACAAAGAAAAAACTGCTTTAATTTGTCCAAACGACCCTAACTCAGTAGAATACAAACATAATAAATAAAGCTAACAATCCAACATAATGTTTACTTTATTTTTTATGTTTGTATTCTGCTGAGGTAGGGTCTGTTTGGTTTGGTTATAGTTTTTTATCATTGTTTATGTACTCTAACTTAAGTAGGGGCATAAGGGTCTTTTCCCTTTTAATTATGGTCCCCCTACTTAAGTTACAGCATAAAAAACAAAGAAAAAACTGCTTTAATTTGTCCAAACGGATCCTAACTCAGCAGAATACAAACATAATAAATAAAGCTAACATTCCAATAGAATGTTTATTTTTTATGTTTGTATTCTGCTAAGTTATGGTCTGTTTGGTCTGGTTAAAGTAGTTTTTTATCATTGTTTATGAACTCTAACCTAAGTAGGGGCATAAGGGTCTTTTCCCTTTTAATTATGGTCGCCCTATATATACTAATATAAGCTAGCGCTGCCAGTCAGTTAGTTGACTCCAAAACCTTTATCTTCTCTTCTCCCTTCTCTCCTCTCTCTCCCTTCTCTTCTTCTTCCTTATTTCTCCTCTCTTCTTCTGTTAATAGTTTTCACCCAATGCATTATCCTTAATGCTTCCTTTGTATGGCCCCTATCTTTCTACAAAATATTTTTATACATTCTATTCTTTCGATCAAAAACAAGAAGAAATAAAGAAAAGAAGAGGAAGAAGAGAACATAGTTAGGGCTTCAACACATTGATTAACTATATCCAACAAGAAAGATGTTTTTTCATATTACGAGAAGAAAGACCTAAATTACAAAACAGGCCATGATAGGGATGATATTACAAGAAAGATCCTAAATACATTTTAATTTCTGAAATGCCATTTATTCCTTGTAATAGTTGCATTTTAAACATACCATCTCTTTAAGTAAAAAGGCCATTACCCAATGTTGGTTCTTGGTCCTACTATTTGGGGGGGGGGG